TAGTTCTAGTTGGCCCAAAAAGATCTATATGGATCAATTGTAATACTCTACTAGTTTATACATCATTAATGGACTTAAAGGAAGCTCTAATTTGTTTTCCTTTAGCACAAGCATCACAGATTTTATCTTTATCAAATTTTAGCTTTGGCAACCCTCTTACTAAATCTCCTTGAATTAGTCGTTACAAAATACTCATACTAGTATGTCCTAGTCTCCTACGCCATAACCAACTATCATGCTCATCCTTAGTAACTAGGCATAAATTAGTCAAATCAATAGAGTCTAAATGCACCATGTATATATTTTCTATTCTATGACCAACAAACATAATCAAAATATATGCAATGTCAATCAATTTTGTAAGCACTTTAAAATAAGACATTATATCTTTTGTCAAATTCATCTAATCGGATTATGCTTTAACCCATTCACATATAAAACATTATGCAATGTTGATTATTGAGATTGAAAGCATATGCATAAAGTTTTAAAGATGTTATGCATTAAAAGTTGATATCATTGAAAATTTGAAATCTATGCATAAGCATTAAAAGTTTAAGGTCAAAATTTGTAAAACCAATAGTATTTGAAAATTTTGATATGAATTGTTAAAGAGATATCATTTACGTGTAAAACAATTTTGACCAAAAATTATTATGATGAACTAAAATTAAAAAAGATGAAAAGTTTATATTGTTCATCATAAAGTATTTTTCAACATACATGAGATAAAACATAATTATTCAATATTTAAATTTTCATGCATGCATAAGCAAAATGAGCAACCAAATAAAACAATAGTAATATTAAGTTTAGAAGTTACCCATTCATTTTTCATGTGTGGCTAGAGCATCTTGAATAACATCATTTTCATCATAATTGCTCCCACACACCTACAAGAAACATTTAAGTAGATTTTGGTATCCAAATTTCTTTGGATCCTTTAGCGTTAGTTTCAATGCTCCTTGTTCCCTTGGGAATCCATACTTGTCTGATTTTGAAATATTTTCTTTTCTTTAAAGGACAAGTATGTTCCTTGTGACCATGATAATGACAATATGAACATTTTGTCATTATGGAACTAGATGAATTATTTAAAATGATCTCTTTTTGTTTTGTTAAGCTTTCAAGCTTAACTTTCAAATCGAAATTTTCTTTTTCCATACTTTCAAATTTCATTTTTGAAAGTTCTAAATTCTCCTTCAATATTTCGTTTTGATTTTCTAAATATGTTTTAGCTTTCAAAAGAAGATCATTTTTACCTATAAATTTAGAAATAAATTTATTGTATTTGGAGTTCATAGTCTCAAACTCTGAAAATAATTCATCATAATCATCTTGTAACTCATTAAAAGATTTTGAATTTAATCTATTTGAGTTAGAAGATACATTTGGCTTTGTGAGAGCTAATAGAGACATCACCTTTATTGGTTCTTCTTCTTCCTTGTCTCTATATATCTCCTCAAGCTTATCCCACATCTCCTTGGCACTTGAACAAGAAGAAACTCCTTTATATACATTAGTATCAATTGCACAACACAACATGTGCATAGCCTTTGTGTTTTGTTGAGCTTTCTTCTGTTCTTGATTACTCCACTTCTTTGCCTTCTTCTTAGGAGAGGAATATCATTTCTCGAATATCATCCAAGCTTCCATATCAAATGCTTGGATAAATATCATCATAAACCTCTTCCAACGATGATAATTTGTTCCATTGAAGTATGGAGGCACGTCAATTGGTTTGGATTCTTCCATGGAGAATGAACCGGAAGTGGACTCCATCTTTATCGATTTAACTATTCTCGGATCTACTCAAGAGGCGATTAAACCTTCAAATGAGTGAGACTCTGATACCAATTATTGAGTTAATCGATTGATGGAATAGGCCAAGAGGGGGTGAATTGGCAATAAAAATTTTGGTGGAAGCTTTTGCAGAAAATTGATAAAATTTGCACAACGATTTAGAGTGGTTCGACTTTCTCAACCAAAGTCTGCGTCCACTACCTTAGCTATCCACACTAAGGATTTTCCACAAATTCACTAATTTGTCTTTCTTTTGAGGACAAAGAGTAACCTTACAAATCCCTCAAGAATTATACCCCAAATTCTTGAGAACACTCTCTCCCAAAGAGAACAATACAAATTTTGCAAACTTACAAGAAAATCCTCACAATGAAAGATGTTTGCACAATTCTAGAACAAAGAAAGAACACTCAAGAATAATACAATTGAGTACAATTAGTGTTCTTGAAAGAAAAGATGAATATTGAATGAAATAGGCTTGAAAATGCTCAAACTTGAGGTTTGATGCTTTCTCTTTGATTCTCTCTTGATTCTTATTTCTTGTTGTTGATCAATGGCTTCTAAGCTTGTTTAAATACTCCTTGGATCATTTCTAAATGTTGGGGATTATTAGTGGAGTTAATAGAGCCCTTATTGTGTGAAAACACTTAATAAAATCAGTTAGGAGCATGTGTGCATCGATGCCTAGTCAAGGTGCATCGATGCATCAAGTGTAAAATTCAAACATTTCGACCTTTGGAACACTTAGTGCATCGGTGCAGTAAGGGTGCATCGATGCATAAAATGCATTCGATGTTTCAAACAAGCCTGGAGTGCATCGATGCATAAAATGCATTCGATGTTTCCATAAAATCCCGAGTGCATCGATGCATGGAAGTTCATCGATGCATAAAATGCATTCGAAATGGGGTGTGCATCGATGCATCAATTAGTGCATCGGTGCATCCCTTCATAAATTTGATTTTTGGCTCGTTTTTTGTTCGAAATATTTTGTGAAAATTGTTTCAAAAATATTTTAAGTATAAAACACAATTTTACACTTTAGTAAGGATTGAAATTAAACTTTGAAAGACTTGGAGTATTATTTTGATATTCGAATAATTATATCGAATATACTTTAGAAAATCATTTTTAAAATCTTAAAATTCATTTAACTTAATTTGTTATATTGAAACATCAAAATATTTTCAACATAATATCAAGTTTTTTGTAATAAATTATTTTTGTACTTATATATTTTAATCATTATAAAATATTATACTATTAGAACCTCCCTATTTTTTAGTGTCAAAAATGTTATATATTAACAAAATATATTGTAATTAATAAAATTTAAGAATTTTGTAATTAATTATTTTTGTAGTTATATATTTTAATCGTTATGAAAATTTATACTATCATAAATATTTTCCCCTATTTTTTGTGCAAAAATGTTATAGTGACAAGTTTTGTAACTATGTGTAATAGTTATTGTTATAGAAAAATTATCACAACAAAAATTATATTTTTTATTTAATAAAAGATTCAAGTTTTTTATTAAAAAAATTATGTTTGCAGTTATATATTTAATTATACTGATAAAATATCATTATTATTATAAAAAAACAAAATGATCAACAAATTTAATTTTTTTTCTTATATATATATATAATTAAATGGAATTTTTAAATAAAATATAATAACAAAATATATTATCAAAAATTTTAGGGGCTTGTTTATTTAATAAAAATAATTATTCTAAATTTAAAATCTAAAATAAACAAAAAATAAATTATAAAAAATTGTAAAAATGAAATTTAAATTACTAAAAAATTGATATATATATATATATATATATATATATATATATATATATATTGAATTGGGAATGGACAAGCTAACTTAAGCTCTCATGTAAGGTTGTCCGTGCAAGTCTTGAACAATATATATTAATCATAGTTGGAAAATTTTCCTATTAAATTTTTTATATTAAGTTTAGTTAAAGGTTACTTCCGTTTGTCATGTTATATTCACTACAATACTCTTCTTAGTTGTATAATTATTTTAACATTTTTTATTATATAGTTTCATAATGGTTAATGATAGAAGTTGTTGGTTAAAGGGTCATGTTAATTTTTTTCCTAAGTTTGATGGTCGCATTGAATGCAACATTAATTTGATGGCCAAATTGAATTTTTTAATGTACAAGAGCCTTAGGTATCTTTTTTCTGAAAATTAATATAAATTAAATCAATATTAATTAGGTATCGATGACTCGAAAATACATGTAATAGGCTTTATGGGTACCCAACTTATGGGTGCCCACATATTACTAATTGAGACGTAGACCGAATTTTTGGCACAAAAAAATTTTGAATACTTGAAAAAACGAGTACCTAGATATGAACATCCCTAACTAATATATATATGATAAAAAAATCATGTATTAAATTTACTACGATTATTTTTATAAACTATAACACATCAAAGTTTAACCATAAATTATTTTTAATACACGGATTTTATATACGATTTTTATTATCTTTATTAATAATTAATATTATTAATATTATTGATTTATTTTATATTTTAATATTATATGAATCTCTTCAGAACCATCATGTTCTGAAGATTATACTTTTATTATTATTATTTAAGAATATATCAAAATATCCTCTAATTAATAATAATAATTGTACTATGCGCTTAATAGGAGTGTACTTTTTTTTTAATATTTAATTTATTACAATATTTTATTATTTTAATATTATATGAGTTAAACAAATAATTGTGCTATGCTCTTAATAATATTATGTCTAATTACTCTAGTATGGATGAATTTAAAAGAAATCTAAACCTAAGGATTTGATCTAAAAATTAAGATTCTATGACTACATTGAAAACCCAACAAAATTAAATGTAATTAAAAAGAACCAAGGGATTAAAATGTAATAAAATAAAAAGGAAATAGTTAATTAAAAATAAACATAATAGCATAAAATGATGACTAAATTGTACTAAAACAAAATAGAGAGCCACGATCAGAAATTAGAAAGAAACATTCAGTGACCAAATTAGAATAAAGGAAACAAAGGGTCCAAATATAAAAGTATGTGATACTATAAGGAGCCGTGTCCTAATTATACAAAAACCCAAGCCTTTCACGCTTGTTGTTTTCACTTGGCCATTTCTCCTCTTTGTACGCCGCATCTCTCTCCTCCTTTTTTTTTTCTTTTTTACCATTTGCAAACCCTAACCCCAAAATTAGAACACTCTCAAATCTCCCCTACTCTCCACGGCTGGGACTATTACTGGGCATTAAATCAGCGTTGGTATAACCCCGACCCCCGTTGGAAATTAATTTGGAAGCTTCGTGTTCCTGAACGGTTACGTAGCTTTCTTTGGCTTGCTATGAAAGAAAAACTTCTCACTGATCATGTTCGTTGTCACAGAGGTTTCACACATGACCCATCGTGCCTGGCCTGTGCTAATTCTGAGGAGACACTCCTTTATATTTTACGCGATTGCTCCAACATTCATGGAGTTTGGAATTCTATGGTGCAATCTCATTTTCCTGGATCTTTTTTTACTGCTCATTATAAATCTCGTATAATATCAAAACTTAGTATCACAATAAATAGTGTAAATCTCTTGATGAATGGCTTACTATAAATCTCTCCTGTAATGCTCCTCTTTATAATGTTTTTGGAATATTTGCTTTGTTTCGATGAGGAAGAAGGAAAAACGATTGTTCGGAAACTTCCTAGTGATTCTTTGAGTATCAATGGACACACATTCACGTTTGACTCAGTTGCCAGCTCGGATGCAACTCAGGTACTCATCATGTCCTAATCTCTTTTTCCCCCTTTTCCTTCTTTTTTAGGTTATTTAACTTCGTTTAATTATTTCTTAATTAAAAATTAGCGAGATATATTCCGGCTTGTGGGAGCACCACTAGTTGAAAATTGTCTTACCGGGTTTAAAAGTTCAGTGTTCGCTTACGGGCAGGTACTTTTCTTCTTCTTTTTCTTTCATTTCTATCCTTTTCAATTTTCATTGTGTTTGAATTGTTTTGTAATTTTTTTTTCAATTTGTTTGTCTGGGTAAATTGATTTCTCACTAGACTGAGACTGGTAGTGGAAAGACTTGCACGATCTGGGGTCCAGCCAACGCCTTGTTGGAAGAAAATTTATCAAGTGACCAACAAGGCTTAACTCCCTGTGTGTTTGAGCGACTCTTTGCTCGTATAAATGAGGTAAAACTGTAAAAGTTTTAGTTATGTTCATCTATGAATGTGCTGAATGTTTCTGTTTTGAATGGACCATTTTTAATAGTTGGTTTTTATGACCTTCTATATTATAGGAGCAAATTAAGCATGCTTATAAACAACTCAAGTACCAATGTCAGTGTTCTTTGTATTATCAGATTGTTTAGCTTTGTATTATTCTTATTTTTTACCCCTTTTTTCACTTTATTAGATCTATAATGAGCAAGTCACGGATTTTTTGCATTATAAGGAGCGTAGAAGTCACGCGATTGCTCCTCTTGATGAATGGCTTACTATAAATCTCTCTTGTAATGCTCGTCTCTATAATGTTTGTCCTTGGAATATATCATTGGAATATTTTCCAATGATATACTATTGACTCATCCTCGCTGCTCAACCGTAGCATCTCCTGGGCTAAACACTACCTCGACGCTGCTGTTTCTTTCACCGATTTTTAGCCTTATAATGCTGAGTTAATCCGGTGGCAACCTCTAGGACATAGTTGGGTTTGCCTCAACACCGACAGTGCCGTCTTTGTGCCATCCAATCTCGGCACTGCTGGTGGCATTTTCCGAGATCACATGGGTACGTTTCTCCTGGGTTATAGTCCTCGGTGATCCATGCAGAATTATGAGGCGTTTACGAGGGTCTGAAGCTGGCTTGGTCGAAGGGATTTCACCACGTCTTGGCGCAAACCAACAACGTAACTGTCCTTGATCTCCTCTCCCCCTCGTCCTCGGAGAGTCCATTTGCTCTGGTGCGTAACATTACTGGTATGTGCTCAAGTTCCTAGTATGTCGAATTTGTTGCAATTCGAAGAGAAGCAAAATTTTCTGCCGATCACTTTGCCTAACTTTCGAAACCTCACGATCACCTCCTCACTGTGTATGATGCACCTCCGACTTGATTTCCAACGGGGGTCGGGTTATCCCAACGCTGATTTGATACAAGATTATAGGCACGATGGGTCATGTATGAAGCGCTTATGAGTCATTGTTGGGACTATTACTGGGCATTAAATGCCCCATATATGTATTTTTTTAATGTATATATGGATAAAAAAATGTTGATTTCAGGCACAAAAACATATTAAATTAAACAAAAATATATTAAATTTAAGCAAAATAGAAAGTTATGTTAAATTTATTTCGTCATAATATTTTCTCAAAAAAACAATTATGTTATTTTTTTGAAAAATTTGTATAGTCATAATTAGAAGTGCATAAAAAATCCGAATATTCGATTTTACGTAAAAAATATCCGAAATCTGATTTGGGAAAAACCGATTTTTTTTAACCGGATCAGATATTTTAAAATCGGATAGTTTAATCGGTTTGGGAAAAATTGGACGATCGGATTTTTTACAGGATTAAAAATTGGTTTGAAAAAAATCGGATAAAAAATAGGTTTTTTATTTGGAAAAAATTTGGTTTGGGGTTTAAAAATCCGGTCTGGAGTTTAAAAAATTGGATGACCGGATTTTTTACTGGATTAAAAACTGGTTTTTTTAAAAAAACATGTTTTTTTCAAACCGAAACCGGTTACACCGGTTACATCATCTGACCCTCCAAACCGGTTATGATCCGAACCGATTTTTTTATAAATCGATTTTTTGGCTTGATGAAAAAACCGGATCGATTTTTATCCGATCCGGATCGGATTTAAATCCGACTATGTGCATCTCTAGTCATAATAACAATTTATAACAAATATTAATTTATTAATATAAAAAATTATGACAAATAACATTCTTTCACTATAATTATAATAAATTTTAATAAATTTATTTAGTTACAATAACACGGTATATTTTGTCAAAATAAAAAGTTATGTTACATTTATTTTGTCACAGTATTTTGTTAAAATAAAAATTGTGAAAAATTTATTTAATCAAAATAACAATTTATAACAAATATTAATTTCTCAATATAAAAAATTGTGACGAAGTAATATTCTTTCACAATAACAAAATTACAACAACAAAATTATTTAGTCACAGAAAAAATTTATAGAAAATATTTAGTGACGAAATAAAAGTAGTGAGAAATTAAATTTTGTTGTAACATGTCTTTTAGTCAAGAAAACATTTTTTATTTGATGTCATAATTTAAGTTAATTGTGACAAAATTTACTTTTTGTGATAAAATGAATATTTTATTTTAACAAATATTTTGTCTATGTATTTTACATTTAGTGCCGAAATAGAAACTGTGACAAATAATGTTTGTTATTGTATTTATTTTTGGACAAAAACTCTTTATATTTGATGTTAAAATATAAGTTAGTTATGACAAAATGTAGTTTTCGTGACGTAATGATTAATTGATTGTGACAAATATTTTATTGTGATAAGTTAATTATAGTAAAAAAATTATTGTTACAATAAATACTATAAAATGGTAACAAACAAAATTTTGTCACAATATACTTTACATGACAAGGTTGTTCTAACAAACATGGTAACAAATAAAATTAGACAAAATAAATATATCATGACAAATTTAGTACTTTAGTGATAAATAATTTTGTTGAAACAATCGAAATTTGTTGTAGTGGGTGTTACAGTTTGTCTTTGAGACTAAGGTTAAGCAACTTAAATCTTTGGATCTGGTTGGCTCTTTGGCTACTGAGTTGGACTCGTGATTTAATTACTCAACTGTTGAGGGTGGTAGAATCTGGATTTTGTGGAAGAAAGGTTTGACTATTTTTTTCATTCAGGTTGCTAGTCAATCCATGTCTTTCATATTGGACCTATTTGGTAGAAAGGCTATTATTACAACAGTTTATGCGTTTAATGAATAAGCTGGTAAGAAGACTTTATGTGATCAACTTTGAAGTTTTGAGGTTAGCGTTGGTGCTCTTCCATGGTTTGTTGCTGGGGACTTCAACACATTTCTCTACCTTGCTAAGAGTTATGATTTTGGTAGTTTGGGCTCCTATATTAGTGCTGACATTATAGATCTTAGACATTACTTGCAAGAAATTGAATTTCTTGATCATCTGTTTACTTGGACTAATAAGCGGGATGATGGTATTTTCCTAAGATTCTTTAGAGATGGTTTAGTGCTTGTGTTTTCTCTTCTCGGTTTTTCATTTATTTTAATGAGACTTGTGTGGGTTATTTTAAAAGTGAAAGTGGGTGAAATAAGGAGACCCCCTTTCTCCTTGTTTGCTCTTGCAATGAATGTGCTCTCTGTTCTGTTGAACTTGGTGATTGTTCAAGGTGTTTCTAAATTCTATCCTAAATGTAAAATAGTGGATCTCACTTATCTTTGTTTTGTTGACAACCTCCTGATCTTTTGTAAAGGGGATATTGATTCGATCTTGGGTGTAATGAGCGTGCTTGATGAGTTTTATATAATTTCTAGATTGAAATTGAATGCTTCCAAGTCTAAACTCTTTGCCTCAGGGAAGAGTGGTGATTGTGTTGCTGAGGTGGTTCGTGCTATACGATTTTAAATTGGGAAATTTCCTGTTCATTATTTGGAGATTCCCTTAGTGGCTAGGAAACTTACTATTAAGGACTGCACTCCCTTGCTCTTGAATATTGCTGATGGCTAAACTCTCGAGATAACGTTCTCGAATAAATTAATTCACGAGATAATGCACTCCTCAGATTAATTGCTCAAATAGGGTGAAATCTACAGTGTTGGTCGTAGGTCGCCATGCCATCCGGGCGACCTACTAGGTCGCCATGTCCTCCCGGCGAGCTATGAGAGAGATTGCATGTGTCATGCACGTTCCAACACGTTGGGCATCCGAAGCCATCCGACCGAGGCCATTCGAGCGAGCTATGCGAGGGCATCCGAGGGCAAGAGGAATCACGCGAGGAGCAGGAGGAGTGCATGGCGACCTATGCTGGGAAGCTGCCACGCCGTAGGTAGCCCGGAAGGCATGACGACCTACGGCCAACACTGTGCAATTCGCCCTATTTGAACAATTAATCTTGGGAGTACGTTATATCGTTAAATAAAAAATTCGAGAACATTATCTCGAAAATTTTGCCATTGCTGATAGGTTGAAAGCATGGTCTGGTAAGCTCCACAGTTATGGAGGCAGACTCTAGTTGATTCAGTCGGTACCTTGTAATATCTCCAGTTTTTGTGAAGACAAGTTTTTCTCCCTAAAGTTGTGATTAAAAGAATCGAGCAACTTTATTCTCGGTTCTTCTGGCAGAGAAGTGATAAGTCAGCGAGAGGTACGAGGGTGTTCTGTGATCATATTTTCTCTCTTAAATATGAGGGGGATGGGTTTGAAGAGGCTTGATTGTTGGTCCAAGGCTTGTTAGATTATGCTTATTAGAAACATCGTAGCTAACCACGGTTCTTTGTGAGTTGTTTAGATGCATTAATACATTTTGAGAGGGATTGATTTTTGGATTCTTGAATGTAACTATGATTTTAGTTTGATTATGAAGAGGCTCTTGAAGTTGAGGACTGAAGCTGCGAGGGTTTTCTCTATAGTTGATAATGGGACTGTTTTCACTGCTAGATGGATATGAGAGGAGGTTCAAAGTAAAAAGGGATAGAGTGATTTGGCAAAAAATGGTTTAGTTCCCCTTGCACATTCCGAAGCACGTTACCATTGGATGGATGACTATTCTTGATAAGCTACCTACATTCAATCGTTTGTGGAGGATAGGATTGACGGTAGTTAATGTTTGTCATTTTCGTAATTTGGATCCTAAATCTAAGGACAATAATATTTTGGGTGTTCCTATGTAAGGGAATTTGTTCTAGTGTGTTGAGATGGTGTAATATCTCTAGATCGGTTTATGAGTGGTTTGAGGAGTTAGCTTGAGTTATTGTTGTTAGACAACATGGTTAATTCGAGATAAAAATAATAATAATATTATTATTATTATATAATCGAACGAAGCAAAATAAATCAAACTTAAAGTAGAGGCAAGAAATTGGTTTACTCATATTTAGACACTGAATCAAATGAGTAGAGTATGATAAACAAAAGAAATATTTTTTTAGACCTGTATGAACAGTTTCCTTAAGACATATTCGTCCTCTCCTCGGTGTTTTGAGTAACGTTGGACGTCGGTCTCCCAGGATACAACAAACGATCACAACAGTAAGCACAACCGTAGTGATCAGTCGAACACAATCTTGTCTTCCTCTATCACCGGAAAGAACGAATTTGGAAGGAATTTTCTAAGTGTTTTTTCTATTCCAAAATTCTAAACTTGTGTAACTTGTAACTTTTTGCTCATTGTGCCTAAACTAGCTTATATATAGGGAGAGGAAATTGATTGAAAGGTTAAGACCTTTCGATGAAATGACTTAATCTTTCAATTAAATGACTTCTCCTTTTGATGAAAAGTGCTTAATAAGTATGATTGCATGGATGCAATTTTAAACCAAAAATTAAGTTCATTCATCAAGTGACATGACTTATTATTAATTAGTTATAAATAGCATCAATTCATTTAATAATTTTTTCAACTCCCTCACATGAATGAACTTGATGATTCAAACACTGACTCAATATGGTGATAGATTCTACGTTCGATATTTGCATAGGATAGCTAGGTGTCCCCCTTTGAACCTTCCCTTGTGAAAATATGTTTACCTTACAGGCTGTCTAGTAGACATGATGTCCTTGAACTGTTCTGTTGTTAGTGTAAGCGATGACATACCTCACACAGATATCTCACTGACAAGAATTTGGTTCTCATGGTTATGTCCATATAGCCGTAGACATCTCCTGGTTCTACAAGATTTTAGAGAACTATACCCCAATAGTCTCTTTGAAGCGGCTCCACTTCACTCTCACATAGGTGACTTATGTTGTTCGGCTCACCGAAACACATAGTGGTCATTAAAAGCATTGCTTAACCTTTTCCACATTTTAGTCACTATTTTCATCATATGAATGGACTTGGGGATAAGAACCCCCACAGTGACCTCACAAGGTCTATGCAAGTAGGTTGTCCCTATTGAACTTAGATCTTGGGATCTCCAGCCAACTAAGTTGGGTTTTCGTTCACATAGCGCCT